AATTAAATATAAGTTATTACATTTTAAGTAAATATGTATTAATTGTAAATGTTTTAAGGATCATCCAGTTCATGGAGGAAGATTTAGAAACACTTTTTCAGAATCCCAATTGAAACAACTAATCAACTACATATCAGACATAGATAAACGTGCGTTTGGTCTAACTAAAATTCAGTGTAAAAAAATGGTATTTGACTTTGCAGAACACAATAATATTCCACATCGTTTTAATCGAGAAACAAAAATGGCTGGTGATGATTGGCTAGCAAATTTTATGAGTAAATACAAGTTTAGCCTGAGAGCACCTGAAGCTACCTCAATTGGGCGGCTTATGGCATTTAATAAAAATAATGTACAATCATTTTTTACTACACTGAAAGAACTTCGTTTAAAATACAAATTTAATGCTAGTCAAATTTTTAACATTGATGAATCTGGAGTATCTACAGTTCCAACCAAACTTCCTAAGGTTATATCTCCTACCGGTTCACGCAGAGTAGCAAAAATAGTATCAGGAGAGAGAGGTAAAAATATCACTGTAGTTTGTGGCATGAGTGCAATAGGTGTTTTTGTGCCACCCTTTATTATATTTCCCCGTAAAAGAATGAAACTTGAATTAATGAATAACACTCCGCCAGGTTCATTTGGCACATGCAATGAAAGTGGATGGATGACATCTGACACATTTCTTATTTATCTTGAACATTTTGTCAAACATGTCAAACCATCAGCTGAAAATGAAATTCTCTTAATTCTTGATAATCATGCATCTCATGTATCGTTAGATGCCATAAATTTTTGTCGTGAAAAACATATTATAATGTTGGGGTTTCCTCCACATACTACTCATCGGCTTCAGCCATTAGATGTTTCTGTATTCGGGCCATTAAAAACGTTTTACAGTCAAGTTTGTGACAATTTCTTAGTCAGTCACCCAGGGCGAGCAATAGTTGATCATGACATTGGAATGTTGTTTGGACAAGCATATAATAAAGCAGCTACTGTTGGAAATGCAGTACATGGATTTAGAGCTACTGGCATTGAACCATATAATCCATTAGTATTTTCCGACTTGGACTTTGAATCTTCTGTTGTTACTGATAGGCCGTTAGAAGAAGAAAACACAGTGCATGTGGCTGAAATTCCTCCAAGAATAGAAGTTATAAATATTGTAGGAGGGTCATTAGATACTGATGTTTTAAGTGTTGATGATCATAATATACCAAATGAAACCACAAGAGAAGTTCCATTTTTGGAAAATAATGAACAGACTCCAGGATCTAGTGGTACATATAGAATAACAGCTACACTTCCACCACTCCCAGTAGCTGAAATAAAAATATCTAAACGAGCACCAAGAGCTAAACCACCAAGTCTTGTGATAAGTAGTACTCCTGTTAAAAATATGATGGAAGAAAAAAAACAACAAAAAGAAAAAAAGGAACTTCAAAAAATGGAACGTGCTGAGAAGAGAAAACTTAAAAAGTTAGAAAAACAAAAAAATGCAACAAAAGTAAAAAAAACCAAGAGACAATTATTCCCTAAAAATCATTCATCTGAAGAATCATCCACAGAAGAACCAACATATGTTCAAACTGATGATGACGACTCTGCTGATGAGGAATGTCTTTTCTGCTTACAGCCCTATAAAAACGACACCAAAGGAGAAGACTGGATAAAATGTATTATATGTTCTAGATGGGCTCATGACTTATGTGCAGGAATTGATGACTGGAAAGTATTTTCATGTGATTTTTGTAACAACAAAGACTGAATTTAAACTACCTGTTTAACTATCTTTAGATAACAAATTAATTTTAAGAACAGTATAATTTAATATACAATATTTGTTATTTGTTCATATAAATTTAACATATATTTGTTATTTGTTTTTATACTTAAAATTAATCAAATTAATTATTATAATAAGATGTTTTATTGCTAATTTTTTAAAAATATGTAAGGTATTCACTATTTTTTAAGTTAAATGAAAGGTACATTTTATTTTATATTCAAAAATAATATTCTGTTAACAAATTGTGATTTTTGTAACAACAAAGACTGAATTTAATTTGTTAACTACCTATTTACCTATCTTTAGATAATACTTTTATTTTAAATTTAACATATATTTGTTATTTGTTTTTATACATAAAAACACATTTTATTTCTGAATTAATTTTGAAAAATCAAATTAATTATTATAAAAAGGTGTTTTATTTCTAATTTTTTAAAAATGTGTAAGGTATTCACTATTTTTTAAGTTAGATGAAAGGTACATTTTATTTTATTATTTAAAAATAATATTCTGTTAACAAATTGTGATTTTTGTAACAGCAAAGACTGAATTTAATTTGTTAACTACCTATTTACCTATCTTTAGATAATACTTTTAATAATTTAAGTTACACAATTTGTTATTGTTCATATAAATTTAACATATATGTATTTGTTATTTGTTTTTACATTAAAGGCAAATTTTATTTCTGAATTAATTTTTAAAAATCAAATGAATTATTTTAATAAGATGTTATATTGCTAATTGTTTAAAATTATGTATAGTAGGTACCTACACACAATTTTTAGTTAGATGAAAAGTACATTTTGTTTTATATTTAAAAAGGGATATTCTGTTAAAAAATTGGTAAAATCTAAATTAAAATTATATTATGTTAAACTTTTATACAAAAACTATCTTTTTTAATATAATGTCAATTTACCCCAGTCAAATTTCAACTTACCCCACCAACTGGGTAAGATGACGAATTTATGGATTTTTTGAAAAATTAAAAAAAACCTTGTATTGGATTAAAACTAAGTGTGTTCATACTACTAACTCCATAATTGTATATTTGAGATTATATTTTTGCAACTACTTTACTAATTACAATCAAAATAAACCCTCCAAAAATGTTTAAATCTTAAGGTCGCCAACTTACCCTAGTTTCCCCTATACAAACCAAACAAAAGAAAAGGTCGCTCTGCTTTACAGTAGGTTACAAGAGGGTCACTGTAATGGATGGTGTTAAATTTGAATTCAATGATATAATATCATATTGGATGAGAAAAACGATTCTGAGCGAAAACGGTCGGTCAGCCTATGATATTACGAAGTATATTATTTGAGTATAAAATAATTTATATATAGGTAACTTATTTCTTGTTTTAAATTGTCAATCCTTAGTATTGTCTACAACCACTGAGAGGCAGTGGGGAACGATAGAGTTCATTTGTATAACATAGGAGTAGGCCATCCATTATATTATATAGGTACCTACTTATCTATGGAGTATAGTAAAATGAAAAATAATCTTATTAAAACCTATTACAAAATGTAAGTAGGTAAGGGCGTATGGTATATATTATTATTATAATATGTTAGAATTGTAGCCATCCATTCAAAATTGGTAATTTATAAAAAAAACTACTATCGCGTATCGACTAAATTCTAAGCAAATTTAAATGTTATAATTAATGTACCACTAAGGTATCACTAATATACCTACTAATATCAGTAATTAATAATTTTGTAATACTATATTACTTTTATTGTTGAAGTAGGTACACAGATATACAATAACAAGTATAATGATACGATGTACAAAAGTGTTACGAGGCGTAATATAAATCAACGACTAACTATGTACCTATACCCGACTACACTACACAATATTATGATAGACTTTTGCGACTCGCATCTTATCGTAACATTTAAAAAAAAATTTTTTAATATGAATTTATGTATTTGAAAAAGTATAAGTATATTTTATTAAATACCATGCCTTAACTTATGTCTTATCTTATTTACAATAATACAATGTCTGATATATAAATATATATATAAAAATTATATAATAATATGACCTTTTTTTTTTTTACATTTTGGCTCTTCCATATTTATTAATATATTTGGTGGCTCGCAAGTCATTTCTCGCTGGCCACCCCTGTTATATGCTATAGTATTATAAAAATGTATAGTCACCTACAGTGTGAATATTTTACTTATACACTACATTACGTAGAGTGTTTTGTTTGTAATTCCAACAATTATTAAACTTATATTAATATGTTTTGTCGGCGGATCCGACATCTACTACGGAATCTACTATATCTAGGTACTATGGAATAATGGAATCGTTGTTGAAAATTTGAACTTTTGAAAATAAATCCTCTTCAAACGCCGTTTACCGGATATGTGATTAGATAATTAACGAAGGATTTAATACTTCAATTAAAATACAATATTTGGATGCTAAGCCCATCCGAGCGAGGTCGTAACTAAAAAAAAATTTCGTGGGGTCCAAGATTTTCCGAGAAATAAAGATTGTTGGTCATGGTACCTACCTATCATCATTTTCATTTTTCAACAGTCGGAGCAATAACGCGTAGTAATTTATTCAGAGATATCAGTTTTTTGTGCTATGCTGTTATCTCGGTACCGCACGGAGAACCACGAATCATCTATTCCGTGAATCTAGTCTTCGTAGGTCGAAACACCTAGATTTGAGATAGTACAATCTACTATAGTCTTATCTACTAATCGCGGTAACCGCCGCGCCGCCGTGAAGTGGCCTTTCCGCGTTCATCGACCTCGTCGGTTCGACGGCGTTTTCGCGTTACCGAGCAGCAGCCTAGCCAACGTCCGCGGCACGGACGTTAATAATATAATAATAAATTATCCCGCCGGGAACAAACTGACGTTAGTAGGTACGTACAGCCACCGTCGCAGCCAACCACAATTTTATTCTCGTCCATTCGGCGTCGTTGTCACTAATAATTATCGCGGTTAACCGTTTATTCGTTTGTCGGTCTGGTCATTTCCGGCGCGGAGCTCCTTTGCCCTACAACCACGTTGGCACGTTATCGCGTTACAGCTCAAGCAGTTGTCGTCGTCGTCGTCGTCGTGGTCACGAGCTTCCATTTTCCCGTTGTCCGGTTGATTTGTACAGCCCGACGGCCGAGCATCGATTTCCGGTAGTTTTCATTAGCAAGCCTTCGATATGCCTTCCAGGTGAGTGACGACCAATATTTACGCACACGCGAGGCGATTCGGTTTTTACACGCGGTGTTTGCGCCCGTTGTCGGAGACCGCGACTTGTGTGACTCTCGCGAATAAAAACATTAATTGATTTATGTTGATTGAATTCATACGAGGGAAACGCGCCGTCGTTGGAGTGTCGAGTATGAATTTAACCAATGTAAATGAATACGCGTAATTAAATAAAAATATTAACTAAATTAAATAAAACGACACGTCGCGTACGATACGCGTCCATGTGAAACGGCCCTAAAAACCCCATACACCATCGGTTGATTTTGTGACGTCGCCGCCGCTATTGTCTAAGTGTATGCCCTTTAGGAAAACGTTTGAAGTTTGAATACATAGCACCTAGGTATATCATAATATAATACCTATAATCAATAAAATAAATAGGTATATTTTTTGGAAAACGCATAGGTAGTTCCTTACTTTTGGTTGTCTTTCAAACGGCGATTCGCCATTACGTCGCAATGCGTTCCCTCAGACATGCTACTTGCTTAAAACCCAATACGCATTTACTCTCATATTCGTTTTTCGTATTCCACCTTAGTAGTGTGGTGGTTCAATTGACAATGTCTGGAATCTTTGTTGAATGGAAATTATTGTGTTCTCGTCCTATTGACTTGTTTTTGGACGATCATTAGCTTAGGCATTTATTTTGTTCTACGAGTTCTCTATGGTTTTTTTACTTTAAGGTTTTAATTTGTTTTTATTTTTATATCAAGAAAAAGATAATTACTTAATAATAACTATTTAAATAACAATCAAATTTACGTAACTAAAATAGTGTAATCAATAATCAAAAGTAATTTTTTACCTTAAATGTATTTTTTTTTGTCATTAATTGAACATAGGTATTATTTGTGGTTTATATTTTTGTGCTTGTTTAATATAGGTACTTTATGAATATACAAAATGCAGGTACTTAAATTAAAAATAAAAATATTGACGCACCTACGATCTACCTATGATTTCAACGTTTATCTGAAATATTGATTATTAGTTATATTGGTAAAGCATATAAATATGTTTTGGCACAAACATCAATATGTTTACATTGTGATTTATATATTATATGATAAAGCTTAATGATGTTATGATTTTCAAAGTGTATAAAATATTTATAGTCATATTTATTGTTATACTTGGTTCTAAATGGTTTGAAACATTAAAACAAATATAAAATGGTATCAATTATTAATTTTTTGGTTAGTTGACTGCCTAAAAATGTATTTTTATTTATGATTTATAAAAATTAATCATACTACGATTGGAGCTATGCCGGAATAATATATAGAATATAGTTATCGCTTATCAATAATATATTATATTATAACTCAATAGTTTAGGAATACAATATTATAATTATTTTTTTTTTTTTTGATCGATCGAAAAGAAAGAAATATACCTACATAATTAATTATTGAAGATAACATTTTCGATTATCTATCTCCTTAAAGCAAAGCTTGTGTTGGAGATAGATAGAGATTCCTCGGGTAGAGAGTTATTAAATTATATAATATAATTATTAATAAAAATAAATTAAATTAAATAAAAATGTTAAAGATTCAAAGTAAGATACTAAATACATTTAAAACTAAATAAACAAATATTAATGTAGTATAAAAAGAAAACTACCTATAAAAATAACGTTATTTTCAAACATACACAAATAAAATAATTATTTACATAGCTTAAAATATAAAAATTATTTGATTTAAGGTAAACTGCACAATAACCATTCATTAATTATTTTTTTTTGATTTTTGGTTTTATATTACAGTAATTTCTGTTTTATATCATAATCCAATGATTTGAAAGTAGTAGACCCAAGGTAGTCTATGCATTTTTGACCACAAATTTTTTTTACATATTTTACTAATGCATCTAATGCCAATTGTTGTCTTTTATTTTTATACTCGTTTTTATATAACTGTATTGAACCATGTATTTCTGTTAGTATCTAACCAGAGTATCACAATTTTTTTGTAAACCGACCTAATAGGCAGAACCTTAAATTCTTTATAATTTTGATTCGTCGAGGCTACCATAGTTTTTGTATCTAAACAGATTCTTATTATTTTGTTTTGTTGAAGTTGTAATGGCTTTGAACAAATTTCGGACAATCCACCCCATACTAAACATCCATATTGGAACAATGACTGATATAGAGCTAAATATTTATTGAACAATATATTTATAGGCAAGATATTTCTTAGCTTATAAAATTTGTGGAGTGAAGAACGTAGCCTAATTACTATATTTTTAATATGTAAATTCCACCTTAAATTAGTAGTCAAATGTTATACCTTTATATTATCTGGTAGACTGGACACTTGAAATTTTTTTACACATATCTTCATTACATTCAGCGACATTTTTACAACAATATACTGTTAAGTTCCTCAAAAGGAATAACCGAAATATAAATATTTAAGGTCATAAAATAGATTTTTTTTATTCAAAGAGAATTTTCTCGATTTAAAAATATATATATTATATATCATATTACGGATAAGAAAACAAAAATTACAATTAAAACGCCAAAATATTGTATAAAACAAAAATATAGGTACCTAATGTTAATTATTTATTTAACACAAATACATTTTGAACTCAACTTTTTATGTTTAATAAATATTAAATGCAATATACCGAATAATGTATTTTTAATCATAAAATATTATAAATTCTTGTAAAAACAAAATAATTATGAGTATAAAATAAAACCTTGATCTTCAATAAAATAAAAAAAATAATTATAATATAAGGATAACATAACAAAATATAAAACTCTTGGTAACTTAATTGAAAAGTTTAAGGGTGTTATATGTATTATGACACCTTTTATTTCTTAAATGTAATAATAAAAAAAAATATATAAGCTGTCTTGCATGAAAATTTGATTATAACAAATATAAATATAAACATTATTAACACAAATTGGTAAGTATGCAAGTAGAATTATTTTTTTTTTTTATGATTTTATTAATCAGTTATTTTCTTGTCCTAACCACGATTTCATTGGGTTGGAAATATCACAATCTGGCACATTTTAAATTTTTCACTCTTCTTATAGAATCAAAAACAGGTTTTCAACCTTTTTAATACCTCTTACACAGTTTGAAAATGTTCATGTACCACTTGACCAAATAACCTTTTTTTGCTTATCAAAAATGGTTACATCATTTCACTTATACTGAAATCACAAAAAGAAAATTAAATAATATGTTCAATTATTATTTATATCATTAAAATTATAAACCAAATATTATTTAATGTGAATAATGATTCATTGGTTATTCCATTTTTATTATAAAGGGAGATTTTCTTAGTGTACCACCCAAAAACTTTCCGCTTACTACTAGTGGTATGTGTACCACAGGTTTACAAACACTGATCTTAAGTGTAAGATTAAAATATTTAAGGGCTGTTCTTATAATGTGTCCGTTAACGCTAACCAGCGATTATAGGTTTCTTACCGAATGATTACCAACAATTCTGTCATTCACTTAACCTAACGGTGACTTGTCAGTTCTTACCAATCACAGTAAAATGATCTGTTAAATATTAGACGAACTGTCGGTTGGAATTCACGGGGCATTGTAAGAACAGTCCTTAAACTTTTAAATATAAAATTTTTACCATAAATTATAGAATTGCATAGCTTTGAAATTGTTTTTTTCCTTTGAATCCGATAAAAGAAAAATTTGGCAAAATATTGTTTGTGAACTAAATCAGTGGCGGCGATCCTATAGTCATTTCTTCAGCAATACATACAAATTTGGTGGGTGGGTGGGGTGGTTTGATGTTGGGTGATTATTTATTGTACCATGACTAATTAGTGTAACATAATAAAAACAAATTTTTTTATTAAAAACAAAAATACTAATTACAAGTTTTGAAATATATCATATTCAAAAGAAAATGTAGCATTTATAATGTTATTTATATTTCTTCAACTAGTAAATTATAATCAAAATAATACCTACACAATGTGTCGACTTTGATTCTTGCTATTTTAGATTCTGAGCGAAGGGAAAGAAGCAATATTGATTTTACAATGATATATGTTTTTTTTTTGTCTTTCATAAATATTTTCCTATTTTAGGTATTTACATTTTAAAAATGCTCCGATTTTCTACTGAAGAAATAAGAAACATATTTCCTGATAGGAAAGTGAATCTAGTGGGTTCATTAGTGATGTCAAAATTTACAATTCCCAGTAGTTTTCGAAAGCATCAATACGAAAAAAAATTAAGAAGTAATAGGTATTTTTTTTAAAATTGAAATTGTTTTTTTTTTGTGTAACTTAAAAAGGAACGATGAATTATTGATAGATACTTTAATTGTATACTAATAATAATGTTAGTAATATTTTTTTACCATGGATTTTATAATGTTAAAAAAAATAATAAATTAAAATTAAGCTTGTTTCAAATATGATGTAATATTTAAAATATATTAAAATACAAATAAGTAAATGAATAAATAAATAAATAAATACAAAATAGTTAAAATAAGCATGTTTAAAATATGACACCCATAATATTTAAAAGAACATTAAAACAAAATCTGTCATTTAAGATATTCCATTTTGCTGTGTGCGTGGGTAACAATTTATTAGATCTTTTTTGGTGTCATTTGCAGCAAAAACATATTTAAAATAAATTATATAGCTATTTGATATATTATTAATAATATATTATTATTGTTCCAGAGCAAAAAAAGTAGTGGAAAACAAGATAAAACCAAACTCTGATGCCGCAGAAGGAGTAGAGTACATTGTTGAAACAATTTTAGATAAACGTTCAATTAATAACAAGGTGGAATATTTTCTTAAGTGGAAAGGTTATGGTGATGACTATAATACTTGGGAACCCAAAGAAAATCTTGATTGCAAAGAGTTAATTAGAGTTTTCGAAGAAAAATATAAACAAGAAGAAAAGGATCAACCAAAACGTGGCCGTAAACGTAAACAATCTAATTCAACTGTTACAAATTCTACATCAACATCATCAGAAGCTGGTCTAGAAGTTCCTCAACACAAGAAAAAGACAGATATGTCCGATAAGTCTAACCTGAACAAAACTAATGACAAGTTTGAAGATGATGAAAACAGTGTGTCAGATGAAGAAGAAACTATTGAGAAGGTTGATGATGATGAGAACAGAGTGTCAGAGGTAGAAGTCAATAATTCTGAAACTACTCCAGCTCAAAAAATACCTGATAAAATTATCGGCGCAACTGACGCTTTTGGGCAATTGAGGTTTTTAATGAAGTGGAAAGGCATTGAAGAAGGTGACTTACTCTTAGCTAAAGAGGTTAATTTAATGTACCCACACATTGTTCTCAAATTCTATGAAGAAAGAATTGAATGGCATACCCCAGAAAATAAAAATAATGCTTAACTACCTATTATAATATGGATAAGAACGATAAGTGTTCAAAAAGTAACTTTTATATAAAATCTTGTAAATGTCTTCGATTATTTAATTTTTTGATTATAATATGTAGCAAGTTTGCCTTACAATTAAAAATATTATCAGTTTATCAATTATTAAAATATATTTAAATGTTAATAACTATATTTTATAATTTCATAAAATGTCATTTTTTTTCCATCCATTTATGTTAATAATTAGCTTATTAATTTTGAAATTTTTCTTTCTTTATTTGTTTAAATTATTATGTAATAGTGAAACATTTTATCTCCAATTCGAAAATAGTATGTTAATTTAAGTTTATTTGCTTGTTCAAATGTTAGGTCAACATTTAATACTTGTAAAAAAATAAAGCATTATTCTCTATATTATTTTATCGTTTATTATAACTTATAATGATAAGTTAGAACCAAAATTATCTTTCAAAAATTACCATTTAAAATCTTCTATATTTATTTTATTTTAATAGGGCCAAGTAAGTTGATGAAACTTTTTTTATTGTTTCAAGTTGATCAATTTTATATACATTATAATATATTTTTTAAAATAATGGTTATTAATAATGTTGCCTCAAAAGAAAATATTTTTTTTATTTATACAGATTACAGCTTTATCTTTAGGGGAATAAAAATCATTTTGACTAGTGTATTTTTCAAGTTATAAGCCTCAAATACAACATAAAAATACTTCAAGGGGCAAGAGAAATATTCGAGATATTCAGACTCTAATCTCTACTATATCTAAGAAAATCATGCGGATTATTATTTTCATTATAAGCCATTAAACTTATCTTTTGAAAGATTACATGGATAATTAAAAAACTGTACGAGTTATAATGAAGTATCTAAACTCTATACGCATTCAGGAACCTTGGTGGCGACCGTTATTCCACCAGGTAACATCAGTTTGTTATTCCCTACCATGTCAACCATCTCTGTGGTTAAGTCAGTTAGTTCCTTCAAATTGGAATGAAGTACCAAAGTTTAAGAATAAACATTACACAACAAACATTAAACTATCCGTATTATGAATTATGATGAAGGGTTAAATATTTGGCCCCAGTTACTGTGAACCATAGTAGTTCTTTAGATTTACTATATTAAGTGTATGTAATTGAAAGTAAAACAATATTATTAACCTTAAAGCTGGCGCGCTGTTGTAAATAATACAACAGTTTTGTATCTACTTATTTCTTATCTAATATCATATTTTTATCTCATTGGCTTGGTGGTCATGTTTATACCTCAAAAGTGTTATTTTTTAAGTTTTAGACTGAATAAATAGCTTTATAAATTTAAATTTAAAAAAAAATTGAAGATGTTAGTTATTGCAATACATTTTATTTTATTACTGTGCTTATAATAAATAAATTAAAGTTTAAAATACATTAAATATATTAATATTTAATATCTGTATGAATGTATGATTATCATAAATCATAATATATTAGGGCTGTTGTAATAATATAGCGCTCGACTACTCCTGTTTTATAATATAGTAGCACGCCAGCTGGAAGGTTAAAAAAACTACTTTATTCACTGTAATAATAGTTTTGAATTTTTTACAAAAAAATGCATTAGTATTATGGAATGTGTACATTAAATTGTTCAGTAGTGTTAGTAATATATTGTTAAATTATTATTTATTAGTATACGTTTTGTGAAATGAAGCATAATTCAATTTTAGGTTATGTAAATAGTATAGGTACAAGTACTAGGTACTAGTAGGTACTTAAAAAAATATTTTTTTCAAAATAAACTGCATATTAATACTTCAATTTGGCACAAATCTAGTTCTGTACTCTATATCTTTGCTATGGTAGACAATAATAATTTGTTGAATTTGTTTTTTATTAGGAAGGTTCCAACAAAAAAAAAAAAGTACCATGACAAGATAATGATAATTTAATTAATATAATATACATAATATAGAAATGATGCACTGAGAATTGTTCTTCTTCGATAATGCATTGCAGTTAATCAATATCTGATTTTCGGAAATTTAAAATACCTATTAAATATATCGCAACCATTATGAAATTGTCTCTTATTTTTCTATTGATACCGATAAACTTGTAAACTTTTTTTTGAAACCGAAACCAAAACTAAAAAAATTAAAAACTGAACTTAAAATCTAAACAAAACCAGAAAATGTAGATAACCGTTCTCGAAAATAAAAACCTTAACCTTTAAAATCTAAAACAGTTTCGATCCCTGATTTATATGCATTTATCTAGGTGTATAAAAATTAAAAACATTAAAAATTGTTTTAATTCGGTAGATAGCTACAGCACTATTGTCAAAAGACGGCTTCTATAATGTTACAGTTAGGGCTCTGAATTTGAAATATTTCAAAATTGAAAATTTCACTCTTCTTGAATCATTTCAATGAAATTATGAAAAATATTTTTTTTCTTTTAAACGTGTTTATTTATAGATGATTAGAAATATATATTGATTACACATTTAGACATAAAGGAAAACATATTATTTCATATTTTTATATTCTATATGTATTTCTGAAAGATATTCCTGGCATTATTTTGAGAGTAAAAACATTTTTATTAGGTATATGAGATTTAAAATATTTTTGTTTGCTGACCCTCAGCGATCCAAAAGATAATGGTTTGAATTATTTCAATCCATTAAGTTGAAGTCAATTTTAACAGTCTATGAAATAAAAGTGTATTTACAGTAATTATAAAGGGTACAAAAGTCGTATATGTGTGTGTATGTGGATCAGTTTCTGAGTGATGTGAAGGTGCTCTGGACTCTTGTATTTAATACTTAGATCGATCATATTTTGTATATTGGAAAAGGTCACGATTCAGGACTATTAACTGCAAGGCTTAGCACCCGAATCATTTATTCGGGTTTCGGGTGTTGGATGTATTCGGGTGTTCAAACACCGGAATAAAAAGTTTAAACAAACATTCGGGTTTTCAAAACCGCTATTATTCCGGTTAATATTGGTTAATACGGGTGTTTAGTAATCTGGACAAAAACATGGCTTTTGATGATCCCCCCCCCCCAAAAAAAAAAAAAACAGAAAGTGTTCATGTTTATGTTATTTATAATAAAATATAAATGTTTTACACAAATTCGCAACGTTTGTTTTTAACTAAACTAGGTTAATTAATGTACAGTAGTTACCTTTTTATATGAACTATAAGAAATAAGACAATGGGAAACTAATTATTTAACTACCTATTCGTTTTATTATAGGCATTAGAGTCCACGTAACTCATTTTTTTATATCTATGTAGTATGTACCTTAAGTTCTTAACACACATTATATAAGTTTCCAAATACTTATCTGTTTACTATTTTAAACATCGATATTAAAAGTTTTAACTCAAATAACCTAACAAATACCTACATTAACTACTAACCAGAGCTGGAGATCAATGGCTATTTAAATACCTACTATGTTATTTTATTAGTTATTAGGTTCCTATATATAAGTTATGTCATAACAGTTATTAAAAATTAAAATATAAAATATAACCAACACCATTGATATACGGTAATAACATTAAATAAAAATAAATACTACTTTTACTATAATACATTTTATATCAAGTAATGAATACAACTTTATTTTGTTGGGTAAAATGCTAATAATGTATTTTAAACATAAAACTATAAAAGAGGTACAAAAACTGTTTTTTACAATAAACTAACTAGTTAACAAATTGTACATTAAATTATGTATAAATGTATAATTATAATAAATAATAAATATTACTGTATTTTACAGTAGCTGTAATATTAATGAATTAGTATGAGGTAGAATGTGTAAGCTGTAAATAACACAACATAAGTATAAATTCATTATTTAAATGTATGATTGTTCCTTATCATCAGAATATTTTCTAACATGTCTGTTTTTAATGAACTTCTTAAATCAGATAAAATAAATTTTAAACCTGAAAATGCACGTTCAACGGATACCTGCATAAAAAGAATCGTTTTAAAAAAAATGAATTTAAACTTTTTAAGGCTGATAAAACTTGTGTCGCAGGTACTGCCAATAACACCATTGCCAGTTTATGCAATTCTGGTTTACTGTTTATACAATTCCTCCAATACTCTAAAATATTTGTTGAGTGATGAAGTCTAGGAACATTGTCAAAATCATCTATTATACGTCTTATATCAGACATCGAATTTGAATTTTGAAATGAAAAACTTAAATCTAATGAGTCTGAAGCTGAACTCTGTGATCTAATATACTGTTCCAAATCATCATTCAAGGAATCATCAACAAAACTTTCAATTGGAGGAACTGAAATATTACTTTCGGTTTCGATTCCTGTTTCTAACCACATAATTATTGTCCAAATATCTTTCAATAATAATTTAGCTGCATATTTGTCAGTTTGAGAAAGATACCATTGGAATCTTGGATCCAAATAAATTGCTAAAAAATATAAAAATTGTATACTTACATTAAAAGTTAAAACAATTGTACAGTAAAAATCTAAAAGTAATAGATAAAATATTTAAATACCTGCTAAAAACACAGAATTATTTTTCAAAACCGATCCCCTGGTATCCATTGCTATAATAATGTCATTAGCAAGTCCTGAATCCACTAATTTGGTACAAGTATAACACTTTAACCATACACCAAAAAAATCTCCTAATGTTAAAGTTTCTTTCTGTAGCTCAATAGTAGCTGTTTTGGCAGGTGATAATGCTTGAAGCTAAAACATTTAAATACATTACTTTACAATTTAACATATATTTTCAATGATAGTATAAATCTTTCAAAAAATATGTTAATTTTCTAAGGTTTTTATTTTAAGAGAAAATTAAAATGTACCATTTTTTCAATTGATGACCACTCATTTTCAGTAAGCTTTAGTTCCTTAAAGGTATCACATAAATCAACACATGTGGATTTTAAATCTAAAAGGCGTTTCAACATGTCAAATTTACTACACCAGCGTGTTTCTACATCAATAATAGCTCCTTTTTGTTTCATTTTTTTTAATATTCCAGCTACTGTAGGAATTCTGAGTTTTTTAACTGCCTAAATCATGAGTTACATAAGAAGAAAAATTATACATAATACTATATTACTAGGTACACAATATATGAATAAATCAAGAAATGTCAAGTTCTCATCAATTTTTTTCAATTCAAATTTTTAGTGTACCTATTCAAATATAACAACTAAAATGGGTATTGGATACTTTCAAATATTTTATGAGATATAACCTATTACCTTATTAATATACCTATTTATTGTATAACATGTACTTGCCTACACAGTTCACCAATCTCAAAATGTATAGAATGATGACAAACATAGATGAACAATAAAATATAAATACATTTAAAAGAATAGCACTAACGCCACTAAAATATTCATTATGATGTTGATGTACCTACATTACTATGTACACAAAAATTATAAATTGAAATTTAATTACCGAACGAGCTTTGGAAATAATCAAACTTGAATTCCTAGTTTTTAATGCATCTTCAATGCATAATTGTAGTGTGTGTGCACTACAACGTATTGATACGGTAACTGGTTTGGGTTCATTAACAACAATATGTATATCAGTTAAAAATTCCATTTCAATATTTTCTAATTGAAGATGATCAATTGTTGTCTCCGTATCTAATTCCCCCAAAAGACCGTTTATTTCTTCTGGACAAAGCCTTCCTTCTGGAAAATTGTCCATAGGTACTGTCTCTACATTTTCATCATCAATATGTTCAGTGGTATCATTAGAAATGGATTCCATATTATTATTTTCAATCAAAAATTCATCTGAAATAAAAATGATATATTATAAGGAATTCAAATTAATATTTTTAAATTTTAAAATATATTTAGTGTTAAATCATATTAGTGATAACAGACTACACATTTTTTTTCTAACTCTAGAACTTTTACATGACAGATGTATAACCAAGTATATTACATAAACATATGATTACCTACATTTGCAGCAACTACTAATTATATTATTGTACAATTGGTTTTATGTCAAGATATGTATTAAGTATTAACTTTATGAAAATTATCTTACCTCTTTCAATATTGCTCATACATTCTACCATTTTTACCATATTACATGCACTATCGGTAGTTATTGTCAATATTTGTTGTTGTTTAATATCATACTTGTTTAGAACTTCAAGTACCTGTTGAATTAATGTATCTAATTTAATAATTTATTAATATATAAATATATAATATAATATATTACCTAATTATTAATATGTTAAAAAAACGTAATACCTTTTTTTTTAGATAGTTTGCTGTATGCGATTCTGTAAGTTCAATCATTGCTAATGTTTTAACAACATGTGTACTTTCATCCGAAATAAATTGTACATTAATCCCTAGAATTGATTTATCCAAACGTGTGGCACCGTCAATTTTTAAACTAAGAATACGATTTTTCACCAGATTTTTCAAATCACTGATGACCAAGTTGGCCGTTTCAATAACATTTTTCCTTACATTTCTTTGATTGATTGAAAATGTATTGCCAAAACTTTCAAGTATTGGGTTAATAATTTTTTTAAAACCACTATCATTTACTATACTTAGGGGCCTTCCATTTACAGTGACCATTTCTGTGCATGCATTCAAAAGTATTTCTCGACTGGTCTTAATATGGATAGTCTTTTTGATTATAACACTGTCTAATGTGCATTGTTTTGTGCCAAATGTATTAGAACCTACATGCAGTGGTACCTAAAATAAAAATAGTTATTATAAAACAATTAATATATTTTTATATATAATACTATAATATGCATTTCTTTGACCTTAGTAAGTGTTTGATCATCGATAGGTACATTTCATTGATTTTAGAGCAGTTGTTGTATTTTGATCTTCATTTGTTCTTTTATTTAATTGTTTTGAAAAAATATTGCAGTACAAAGGTATACTTTCAATATGCCTTTCAAGGTTTTTAGCATGATTTCCACTCAATTCCTTAAAAATATACCTTAAAAATTAAAAAAATTAATCTTTATAAATATTATGAATAATATTATTATACTATAGCTAAAAGGTAATATAAAAAATATATAGGTACTTACAAATTGTACGATGAAATAATAATAAAATTGAAAATTGAGTAGGTACGTAGTGAGAGGTAGTGCGTCACTGCGTCGTAGACTCGTAGACCGAATGTGATACAAATTACAAATGTACAATTTACCACATGCCAAGTCGAATGTCGATGGATATAATAATTAATAAATAATAAAATATTAAAATGTTTAAAATAGATGGCCATAGGGGCGCTGCGGCGCTGACTGTTGAGCCATAGACAAATAAAATAAAATATAAATTATGATTTCGTGATTACCGAAAAACTGGTAAATAATAAAATATATAGCCGCGTATTACGATATTCGAGTTACTAAATTAGATATTATAGGACATAGGTAATTCCGCTTTGGAAGTTCGTCGCAAATAATGAAATAACACAAGTTATTATTAGTTATTACTGTTATTAGTGTTTGGTATTTTGGTCACGGCTGTCAATACGTTCAGTTTTGTTGAGACCACGTATTTTATATTGCTATTGGCTATATTTGGATTTATTTTACTAATAAAGTAATAAAGTAATAAATTATATCATATAATAGGTATAAGAAACAATTAAATACTTAATATTTTAATCAGAATCAATTAAATTATTAAACATTTTAATGGATTTTATTTTCAAGGAATTACCTATGATTGTTTGTAAGATTGTTCCTGTTATAATTATTATTGATTATTTAACTCTACAAAATCGAATTCACCACAAAAAATACATACGAAATGATATATCACATGAAGAGTTTGTAAAAATGAAATTATTCGGGTTTCGGGTTAACCCGAATGATTTATTCGGGTTTTGGTTAATACAGGTGTTTTGAAAACAGAATCATTCGGGTTATATGGGTTTTAGGTGTTTGTTTTTTAAGGGTGTTTAGGGGTGTTAGGGGTTCGGGTTAATTTGGGTGCAAGGCCCTGCTATTAAGAGTAGATATAATATAATATAATTAAATTACATAATTACATAATGTGCTCTCAACAATAATAATTATGTTATGATATTTTCGTGGGCACAAATAATTACGGTACCTAGTTATACCTGTACCTACTTAATTTGTGCAGTCCTTAATTGTTTATTTATAGTATAGCTCGAACAGCTGATCTACTCCTACGTGCTCCTAATTTAAATGCGTTTTTATAGTGCAATTTTTGAGTTTTTTAAGTCATTTTTGCATTTATTTAAGGGCATTTTTGGAGATTTTATAGGGCATCAAAATTTCAGCCCTAGTTATAAGAAATATTATTTAAAAATTTAAGGTTAAGGAAGATCCATTTGCTCTGGTTATTATTAGTCCACTTTACACTTCTGCAACAATTTCATTCCTTAAAGTCATCAAGTAACATTGTATTAAATACAAATTTTGTAGGCAGGAAAATAATAAATCGGCCCGAAATGCAGAAAATTATTGTAATTACGTTTAAGCTTACACCGTGTGTTCACCAATTGGCTATTACAAAAGGTCCATTAAAATTATTTTTATCTATTTATAAATTTACTTCATTCAACTTGGATTTGTTTTTAATATATTAATAGGTGGACAGGCCAGATAAATTCATAACACTGGATTTCAGTTACTAAAAAATGAAAATTGTGTCGAAAATCGGTTTGGTACATTTCAACCATGACTATTTCCTTATCTTTGTATTTCTAAGCTATTAGGCACAACTATTTGATGGATGCAATTAAATATTTTTTTTTTCCTAAAACATGGTTTCGTACGTCTTAAAAGTTAAATTAATATCACTATGCTTATTGAAGGGTTTCACAGTATAAATACTGTAACGTGCTGGGTAGCTTGGTGCCTACTATTGTAGTATAAATAATAGACAAGTGGCTACTAGAACATTAACGTTGCAGGTAGCAGACACTTCTTCTGATGATGTCGTCGTGGTTGTTGATAAAATAAGTTGACCGATATAGTATATTGTGAATTTATTAGTTTTACTTTTAATAATTTCGACAAAGTCCAAATAATGACATACAGAGTGGCGTGAATAGGTGCTTGCTCTAATGTGTGGTAGTACACGTCTGAATACAGGCCTATTCGGGCTCCCTTATATATGAAGTTCCCCGTGCCCCTCGCCTATAGATACTGTATCTTGGCTCTCACGGATGTGGTTTGTGTGGTTATTATTCCAGCCCACGCATTTACGATTGAATGTATCACTAAACTATGATTATTGTTAAAATAATCATTTTACTCTTTTATATTTGAATATCGTCGTGTACAGTGTTTCTGTAAAATATTATAAGTAGTATATATTTGTCTGTTCTGAGCACCTTTGTTACAGGGAGATTTCATCATTTCAAGGGGGGCATTTCTACATGCTCCACCGTGTAACACATAATCTCAAAAACCCTAATGTATGTTCTGAGCACCTTTTTTACAGGGAGATTTCATCATTTCAAGGGGGGCATTTCTACATGCTCCACCGTGTAACACATAATCTCAAAAACCCTAATGTGCGTTCTGAGCACCTTTTTTACAGGGAGATTTCTACATGCTTCACCATGTAACACAACAATTTGATAAAATATATATTATTTATTAAATATTATTTTATTTACAAATACAATTATATATTAATTCTAAACAATTATTTATACAAGTTTTCTTACTTCTCTAGTAAAAGGTACATATTCTACAATACGATCATGAATTAATAAACAATAAGCAGTTACACCTGTAAGCGAATCTGAAGCTTCGATTTCCAATTGAACATCCACTGCTGAGGCTGGGGCTGAATCGTTCTATTTCGAAGTATCGATAACTATAATTGGAGCGTTTGTCAGAAAAGTAGAAGGACTCAATATCGGATTACGAATACTTTTTTCATAGTACGATTCTTGAAACGATGTATACATATTATATAATAAGGTGAAATTATTTTTAGTAAAATCTAAATTCAAATTATCGTATGGATAAGCTATAGAGTTCAGAAATACTTTAACGTTTGTTAAATTACAATGGTCAAATATACTACAATCGTTTGTTAGCAAATTCTTACGTCCTTTTTGTAATCCAATTATGATAAATCGTGGTTTTTCTAATTTTGAAGCAGTTTTCAAATTCCATACAACTTTTTTAGTGGTTCCGAGTTCAGGATATTCAAAAGTTTCAAAAGATCTAAAAGGGATAAATAGACTTTTTTCTTTTTCTATAAGTTTCAATAATTTTAACCTTTCCTCGTCGTCAACCGTTATATGTGGAAACTTCCAGACTATTTTATTTAAGGTGACTTTACCTTCAGTGGCAGTCGCACCACTTTTAACTTGTAAAGCATTTAAATCACTATGACTTCGGGTTAATATTAATTCCAATCTAGAATTCACTAATATTCTTTTACAGTTTTCAAACAATCCTAACCAATATTTCAATGGAATGCAAGCACTAAATTCACCTTTATCATTTTCCGATTGCGTTGCGTTTTTAAAATTCCAACCAGCGTTTTCATAACAATTGTAGTTATCTGGCGTACCGGATAAGTAACCTTTCAACGAGCTAGTGATTCCAAGAACACGTGTGCTATCTACTTCTATCCCATTGATTTCCAATCGTATTTGTTCGAAGAGGTAAGAGTAACCGTTATTAGATAGTTTCACTTTGGCAGCATCAGTAATTGTTCCTCCTAAAAAAATAAAGCTTTCGTGTAGATATGGATAAACATCCGTTTGCTGGATTGATATACGTATTTCATCATTATTATTAAATGATGTTGTATACGGTGCGTATGAATGATATTCAATTTTCGTAATTTTAGAATCCGTCTCGTACTGTGAAGTTATATCCAAAATATCACTTTCAGGCATTCTACTTTAATTGATAACCCAGAGCTTGTAAAATTTTTTTATTCTTCACCGTCAATTTTTTTATTTTATTTGATGTTACTGCTAGCACTTTAGTCTTATGACTAGTTGTACTGATCTGAAGTAGTGGGTTTATATTGAATTTTAATCCCATCTCAAGAGCCGTAACGTTTAATATGTAACACGATTGTCAATGCTTCACCAAAATTATCAATCGGATTATGATCTTGATCAACTAACTGAACGGTTATCGAATCAATATTTGTTTTATTCAATTTGTAATATATTAAATTTGGCGGTGCCTGAATTACTTTCGACCCTGTCTTTCCACTCGGGAAAAACTCATAAATCGAATGACTCTGAAGATGGTTGCTGAATGATCCTTGAGCTATATTACACATTACTTTTATAGAATTAATTGTGTTTAAATTTACAGCTTTTTCCGATCGAAGAATGTTGTATGGATTATATACTCGTTTTTCAAAACCGAATACAGGTGCTATACTATATGGATATTCAAAGTGTAGTATTCCATTACATTTTATATACGATCTGAAATCATCAGGATCAACCGTAATGTCGAATGTTAAATTGGTTAAGTTTTTACTATTATAGGCAACTATTTGCTTCTTAACTCGATCCTTAATATCTTCAATTTCATAACAACCCTCTCCCAATGTAATAAAACATATCATAGGATCATTATTGT